AAAATTAGTGTAATTCTTTTTTTATATAAGTTAATTTAAATTACATAATGGGTCGAGTTAATTCATCAAATTTTGACTCACTCTGACACCTTTAATTATATATGTATAAAATTTTTTGTTTTAATATTTCATAAATAGAACAAAATTGTGATACCAAACTTTAGCAACCAAAATTAAATCATCACCATTAAAACCAAAATCAAGATTCAGTGATGTAGTGTATAAATATTTTTTTTCCTTTAATCCATAAAATACATTTATACATTTTTTTATTAAAATTGTAATATCTCATTGAATGTCAAAACAAATAATACTTCATTGTGAGTTGTGACTCTATAATAAGAATAAAAATAATAAAAATATCTATTATTCTTACAAATTATTAAAATAAAAAAAAAAATATTCTCATATTAAATCATTCATTTTTTAGCCACGTCCATTTGTAACAGCTTGCTTGGTAGTGTCTCATCTTAAGGACGAGGGCGTCAATACTGAAAATACGAACACAATGATGATGGGCTAGATTTTTGTCGTCTTTACAATGGAGAGTTAGGACATGAATCAGAATTGGGAGAAATATGCCAAGAAACTAGAAAAGAGAACACATAAATTTAAAAATAAAAAATAAATAAATAAAAGATAAAAATAAGAAACCTGATCATGTAAATAGATTAGGTGAGTCGAATTAAAAATTACGCAACACAGATCTTAAACCATTAATCAAAAGTCAAATTATTTAATTTTCATATGGAGAACCCTTATCACGAAGTAACCTAAACCAATACATCTAAAGCCAATCAAATAATTATTAAAATTGAATAAACTAATAATCATTGCCTTCTGTTCAAAACAATAATTATTTCGGGTAATTAATATTATATCCGAGATGTTTCCATTGGGAAAAAAAATCTTAATTTAAAACCAACTATGATTTATACTAATAATTTAGACATTGTAGGAGCTCTTCCATTGAATACCAATGGCAGTTTTAGATAAGAAGAATCCACATGTTTCGTCTGGTCAAAACGAAGGACCCACTAAAAGCAAGAAAAAGTGCAACAACATCACTGCACAAAACATGAACACCTGCATCTTCCATGATTAACTTGATTGTCTCTCATGTACGTAGACATGCACCTACACGCTTTCGCCTTTTCCCCTCAATTTGATGCCTAATTTTGGCTCCGAAGAAGCATACAAAAAGCTACATGTTCAAACCATATATATATATATATTTATTTATTTCAAAATATATTTATTCAAATTGATTTGATATCGCATTTTTATAAAATATAATTAACATAATATATTTATTTCAAAATATATTAAAATATAAATATTTTAATTATTTTTAACTTATTATTTAATTTTAAAAAAATTAATATAAACATACCAGGTGATATGAAGTTATAATTTAACGGTTAAATCAATAAAATTTATATTTAATATAAAATTATTAAACGGTATAATAGTTAATAAAAAAATTTATCAGTGTTTGAACTTCTTATACATATAAGAGATGTAGTTTTACATCATCATCCAATAAAAATCATCATTAGTTGTGATTTTTACAATAATTAAGTAAAAATTCATGCTTATAATGGTATTAATTAGTTAACAATGTAAAATTATTTTACATTGTTACATTATTTTACATTATTAATCTCAACTCACAAGCTATTTTATTTTATTTTTTTACTTTTCATACATACATTACTACTAATTTTTAGAGAGATAAAAATTGTTTAAAGGGAAGGAAATAAATAAAGAAGAATTGATTAAAAAGAAATATATAAGAAATCAATTAAAAATTGTAGATTTTTAATACGATGAGATGGGTTAGAAATCAAAATAAATTAAAATTTTTAAATTATATTTTATATAGTTAAATATTTATATAAAAGAATTATTTAAATAATTATATTTTTATCCTTTTCCCACTTAGATAAATATATAAAATGTTATTTAGTTATTAATTACTAAGAATTTAAATCATATTTTCAAAATAAATTAATTAAATTTAAATATATTAATTAATTTATTAATTTATTATATTTTTTATATATTAATTCTTTTTTACTTATGTTCAAGTTATTCATTATAGTCACCACAACTATGATCAGAGGTATTTGTATTGATTTATAAATAAAAAAAATATCTCTTATAATCAACACAAATACCTCTCACAATATAAATCAAAAAATATATTTTTTATATATGTATATTAGTAAGTTTTTCATTGTTGTTAGTAATAGTGATAATAACTAAAATAAAAACATGATATCAACTGCTTGAATTTATATAAAAGTTTTAGTTTGATTGTCTATTTCTTTTATGGATATTCTATCAATTTTTATATAAAAATAATTATTATTATTTTATGTTAAACATTTAAATATATAATATAATTTTTATTTTAGTTAGAAAATACGAAAATTTTTCATTTAAGAAAATAGCCAATAAAATAATAATGGTTGAAAAAAAAATAATAAATAAAAATATTAAAGGTTATAATAAAGATATATTAATAATTTACTTTTTAATAAATTAGTGTTTTAGTCTGTACAATGTATAAATTAAATATTTATTATATGCAACTAAAATTTATAATAAGTTGTATATACAAATAAAATTATATTTTTATAAATAATTTATATTGTAGTACATGATTATTTTTATTTATTAATAATTTATTTTAAAAATATTAAAAATTATTTATGATAAATAAAAATCAAAATATATAAATAATTATTAATACAATCCTTAAAAATTATCTTGAATAAAAGTTTCTAAAAGCAATTTCGTGCAAGAAAGAGTTGTTTAATACATAAGGATTAATTTGTTAAATATTTCCAATTTTTTATATATTAAAAAAAATAATTAATTAATCAAGATCAATAAAAATAGTATAAATTTAAAATTTATTTAAAAAAATACCTTATAATTTAAATTATTTAAGTAATAATTATATTTAACAAATGTACACCTAATTTAAGAAATAATTTTTTCTACAGTTTAATTACTCATTAACTTATAAACAAGTTTTACTTTTTAATCTTTATAATTTGAAAGATTCCCTTTAGTTTAAATACAAACACTTTTAATTCTATTTTTTTGTCTACCAATTTAAAAAAAAAATGTAACGTGTGAACGATGAAAGACAACATACAAGAAAGATTTAATGAAAATGTCGTTAATGTGTGTTACGTTTTATATCTTGGTCCTTAGTCCTTATAGGACATTTTTGTATGAGTTTATTGTAAAATATCTCTTGCTCCTGACAAACTTGTTGATTTTGGATGACAAAATCCACACTAGCTTTTAAGAATTCTGGTGTAGAATTATTCTGCATTTGTAAGGAATGATATCAGATCTACAGTTTCAACAGCAACAAAAACTGAGCTCAGTCCTCTCAGGTAAGAAATGAAATTAAAATTTGATCGAAAGGAAAAAATGAACAAAAAAATAAATATCATGTGAATATGAGAATAAAAAAATGAAGGGCTAGAATAAAAAAATGAAGGGCTTGAACCTTGAACAACAAAGGCATGTGAATATCCTGTATTCTGTTCCATTTGCTCCGGGGTTATCAAGAAGTTCCAATTATGCATTGGTTTGTGAGTGCTGTAATAAGTAATAATTAAATGGTATGAACACATAGTGCGTGACCAGTATTTTCAAATAAATAAACTCACTCCTGACATAGGAATTTGGGGTTTACGTTCTATTTTTATTTATTAATAATTTATTTTAAAAATATTAAAAATTATTTATGATAAATAAAAATCAAAATATATAAATAATTATTAATACAATCCTTAAAAATTATCTTGAATAAAAGTTTCTAAAAGCAATTTCGTGCAAGAAAGAGTTGTTTAATACATAAGGATTAATTTGTTAAATATTTCCAATTTTTTATATATTAAAAAAAATAATTAATTAATCAAGATCAATAAAAATAGTATAAATTTAAAATTTATTTAAAAAAATACCTTATAATTTAAATTATTTAAGTAATAATTATATTTAACAAATGTACACCTAATTTAAGAAATAATTTTTTCTACAGTTTAATTACTCATTAACTTATAAACAAGTTTTACTTTTTAATCTTTATAATTTGAAAGATTCCCTTTAGTTTAAATACAAACACTTTTAATTCTATTTTTTTGTCTACCAATTTAAAAAAAAAATGTAACGTGTGAACGATGAAAGACAACATACAAGAAAGATTTAATGAAAATGTCGTTAATGTGTGTTACGTTTTATATCTTGGTCCTTAGTCCTTATAGGACATTTTTGTATGAGTTTATTGTAAAATATCTCTTGCTCCTGACAAACTTGTTGATTTTGGATGACAAAATCCACACTAGCTTTTAAGAATTCTGGTGTAGAATTATTCTGCATTTGTAAGGAATGATATCAGATCTACAGTTTCAACAGCAACAAAAACTGAGCTCAGTCCTCTCAGGTAAGAAATGAAATTAAAATTTGATCGAAAGGAAAAAATGAACAAAAAAATAAATATCATGTGAATATGAGAATAAAAAAATGAAGGGCTAGAATAAAAAAATGAAGGGCTTGAACCTTGAACAACAAAGGCATGTGAATATCCTGTATTCTGTTCCATTTGCTCCGGGGTTATCAAGAAGTTCCAATTATGCATTGGTTTGTGAGTGCTGTAATAAGTAATAATTAAATGGTATGAACACATAGTGCGTGACCAGTATTTTCAAATAAATAAACTCACTCCTGACATAGGAATTTGGGGTTTACGTTTATCACAATATAATGAGTGACGGTGATGATGTATGGTACCCCACCCACGCCCTTATCACAAGGGGCCCTATAGTTTTTGGTTGCTGGGTCCATCCCTCAATATGCCAACTTCAGTGTGCACCCCACCACGCAAACATTCATCATTTCCCTCACATTGACACTATCAAATACTATTATAATACAAAGCATGGTATTACTGTGCATCCCACAACAAAGATTGATTCTCAAGGAAAAAAAATAAAGTGCAGACATGAAATTTATTTCTGTTTGCAACATATATATAAACACATAAACATCTCACATGGAGGAGGAAACCCACCACCACATCCCCAGTTACATGATCATCTCATAGTTTCCACGATCATAAATATTATAAAATCTATAAATTACTCCTCTATGGTAACCAAAAGCTCTAGTTTAACTTGGAGAAAAGGGATAAAAGAAAAGAAAATTGAAAACCATTAAAACTCATTTCCATTGTTGTATAATATTGCATCAGATTAGAAAGGGCTTGCAAGTTGAAACCATAACCAGCACTACCACCACCACCCATTACCATTACTACTTCACATAACACTGCAGCTGGAAGTATTTTCATCACTGAAAAAGCTGGAATATGGTTCTTGATGAGGTTGAGGGTAGCTATAAGGAGGAGGATACATATAATTGACAGGCATGGGAGGCCTAGCATACATCATTGGTTGAAATCTATCATTCCCCATTGCCCTTTGTTGGTTCATCATAGCAGCCATGTATTGCTGTTGTTGGTAAGGATTGCCACCCATCATATCCGGACCACCACCACCTTGGAAGTATCCGCCACCACCACCCCCACCGTTGTTCATGGTAGTGGCTGGTAGGCCTTGAACAGCTGGAATGTTTCCCATTTGATTCATTGACATGTTGCTGCCCATAGGGATGTTCATGTTACCCATAGGACCCATAGTAGCACCAACCATACTAGGATTATGACCACCCATGTTTGGGAACATGTTCATAGCTTGAACACCTTCACTCATTCCATTATTACCCTTTTTACCTACATTCACATTGTTACCAGGAATGCCACCACCACCACCACCATTGTTTTTGTTGTTTCCATTTGGCATGCCGCCTCCCTGTTTGCCACCATTGTTTTTGTTACCACCACCCTGGTTCTGATTGTTTCCGCCACCTCCCCCACTGTTGCCGCCACCACCACCTTTCTTTCCTCCATTCCCATTTTTACCATCATTTCCACCACCCATGTTATGCACTTGCACAGGCATAGGTCCTCCGCCACTGCCTCCTCCACCGCCTTTCTTCCCATTACCTCCACCACCACCATTTGCACCTTTCTGACCATTCATCATGCCATTCAACATCATCTGAGCCTGGTTACCCATAGGGGCATTACCCATCATAGGGGGCTTCATCATCATCTTATTGAGAGGATGCTGGGGATCATCCATTTCATCATCATCAAACTCATCATCAAATTCATCATCAAACTCATCCAACTCATCATCAGACAAATCATCATCCTCAGGCAAAGTGAACTTAACCGCTTTGGCGGCACCACCACCGTGGGGATTGGGGTTGTGGCTGGGCAGCTTCATGTTCATATCCTTGAATTGAGGCAGCTTCAGATCTTGGAACCCTTTAATCTGCTGAAGCTGTTGCAGCTGCTGTTGCAGCTGTTGTTGAGGGTTTTGTTGTTGTTGTTGGGGGTTTTGCCCTTGTTGATTACCCTTGCCATGGTTATTCCCACCACCACCACCACCACCACCACCACCACCACCACCCCCCTTCTGACCCTTGTTGTTCCCCCCACTTTTGTCAATTTGCATGTTCTTGAACTGGTTCGCAATGTGGTTCTGGTTATTGTTGTTGTTGCTATTGTTGTTTCCCTTAGGAGCACCCCAGAGTTCTGCATGTTTCCCTGATTTCGCAAGCTTCTTGATGAGAATATTAGGATCCACATTCCCTGAAACAGTCACCTTCCCATGTTCTGCATCTATATCGGTGGTAAAAACCCCTGAATATATACCGACTCGGTAAATAAGCAAACAACCTACTCAAGATATTCCTATGATATGATATCAGATTTTTTTTTTCTCTTCAAGAAACAAAAAATTAAAATAAATGTTTCAAGAGTTGTAACTTGTAATCATGACATGGGCTAGTACAGTGAAACAGACAATAGATACATACATACCATCAATTTTCTGCAAGATTTTCTTCACTTTGTTCTTGCACCCGTCACAATGGATGTTCACTTTGAGAACACATTTCTGCATGTACAAGCAATCCCAAGGGCGGAAACAGAATAAAGAGGAATTTCTTTGTAAATAACAAAAATAAACTAAAATGGGGGTAAAAATGGCTACTTTATCATACACCAAAAAAAAAAAAAATAGAAGAAGATGGTGAGAAATTAAGAGTGGAAATGAGAATAAGGAACATGGGGTTTGAGGAATGAGATGAAAGAGCGCACCTGTATCTTCAAAAACTCTTCTTTACTCATGTCTGACCGGCAATGGAAGAAAAGAGAAAGGGAGGAAATAGATCTGAGAAAATGGGACAGAGAAGAGAGTTTTTTTTTTTTTTCCTCTTTCTCTTGTTTAGAGCTTTTGGAAGCAAACACACAGCCAATGACAGAAAAAGAAAAGTGTCTCAGTCTCTGAGTGAGCAGAGAAAGCGAGTCTGAACAACACCAAGGTCATGCTCCAACATGTTTCCGAACCACATGCGGAACAAGGAAGAAGCTTTTTATTTCTTTTGCAAAAATCACCTTCTTCTTCACAATGAGTGAGTGAGTGAGATTTGATGTTGCCTCAGTATTTATTTAATTAATACTTCTTATTAAAGTAGTAGTATAGTACTCTATCTTAATTAATAAAAATAAAAATAATATTTATATCTTTGGTTTTTTGATATTATGTATGAGCAGATCTGAATGAAGTCCGTCAGAGTTTATCTTCCCAAATTGGGTGATACAATTAATACTACCATTTATTAGACAGAGGCTACACGTCAACTCTCTCACCGTCACTAATCACTTTTACACCGTTAGATTCATTTCTTTTCAAATGGACGCTTCAAATTTTTTCTCTTTTTCTTTTATTTCTTTTTCCAAATTTATTTATTTAGTCTGTTATCTCTTTTCTTCTTTCGGTCAGTTTTCATGGAAGGTTGTGGCCTTTGCACCACCACCGTCATCTTGTATGAGCCAACAAAAACAGATCTCAATATAATATAACCAGATTCAATAAGAAAAATTATCTTAAATTCAGACAAATAACTTTGTTGGTAACACAGTGGTTGTGCTAAGCGGTGCCATCGGTGTCTATGTTTGGCTCTGTCTCGTAAAAGGAAGAGTAAATCAGGAAATAAAGGACAAAAAATAACAAGAAAAAAAAAAAATTCAAGCCATAGGTCTAAATATAAGAGATCAAACGGTAGAAAATTAGTTTCTCAGGAACATAGACTTTGTGACTCTTCACACTAGAATTTTCCCATTTATTATAGTCAATGGCAAATTTGTAAATTTCCTTTTGTAGAAGTGGATTTTAGTACATTTACACTAAAAAATCACAACCATCATCACACCGATAAATTTTACTCAATTCCTGAGAATGAGATCTGTAAATCACACGCAAAAACATATGTTATCTATTTTTCCTAAGTCTCAAATAATGGTCTCCACATTCTTCTTAATAATTAAACCAAATGTAACTTCTATGCAAAAGTTTAGTTAATAAAGCTATTTTTTTCCCTTTTCTTTTATAAAATAAAAGATATTTATATCTGCATATACTTTTATTCATGGACATGATTCACACAGTCATTTTTATTAATAGTACAAATAAAAATAAATTAGTTTAGATTTTAAATATATAGATAAAATTTGTTTTTATAAAATTAAAGTTTAAGTCTAATTTATTATTTATTATAAATTTTTTTCAAGTTTAAACTAGCATTTTAAAAAGTTTGATCTCACTTATTATGTTATTTGAAAATTTATTTTATATTAATAATATTAAATAAATAAATAAATAAATTTAATTTTAAATAAATTAACAAATATATTCTTAAATACGTTTGAGAGTCTTTGTTTAATTTTGTTGATAAAAATTACTTTAATATTTTTATTATTAAAATTATAATCTAAGATAAAAAAAAAAAAAAGATAAAAAAATAACTCATACATGAATATAATAATCTACACTCACGCACATATTTAATGAAAAAAGAATCTTATAAAAAATAATTTTCAAATATTTCTTACATCTTATTTATAATATTATAAATAAACAACTATGAAAACGAAGAAAAATAATATGCAAAAATGTAACTGTTAGATTTTTTATTTCTTAATTTCATATAAACAAAAAATATAAAATACTTAATTAAGTTCATGAAAATATCAAATATATAAATAATTTAATTTTTTATTAAAAATTATTTATTTATATATTTTTTAATATTATAATATGTATATTATTTTTTATTATATTGTATAAATAAATAAGTTGGTCCATTTAGCTTGACAATTCTTTTTTTAAGTCTAAGTCTAGCATTCTTAAATGAATTTATTTTTTAAAAATCTAAATTTAATCTTTTTTATTAAATAGGTTAGATCATATGTAAATAAAGTCTGACTATTTCCATTCTTAATTACAATTATTATGAATTGAGCACCATTATTTAATAATAATAATAATAATGTTTAAAATTATTTTAACAATAATTTATTGCTAAAGGTTAGAAAATTAAAAGAAGAAAAAAAGAATTAATTTATCAAATTTATAGTAGTTTAGTAACCATCGTATGATTTTTATTTTTAGCATTTTATAGACTTTTTTTAATGGTTAAAATTTAGCTAGCTAGAATATTAAGTTGATAACTATGTGAGAAATCCGAGAAACATTTTTTCTAACACATTTAGTCTTTTTAGATATAAGATTAAAAGTATTTTTAATAATTTTTCTATTAAAAAAACACTCCTTTTCAGTTGAAAAATTCTATAAAAAAATACTTCTAAATTATATTTAAAATAGACTCTGTTTATCAAGGCTGAAATTTATCAAAAAACTATAAATTTTAATGAGTTTTACATTAAATAAGAGTTATTTAAAACTATTTTTACACATACTAAGAATGGTTTATTAAAAGATGAAAAAAATAGTTAATTTACAAATTTAACTTTATGTTAATCTATTTTATTATAAATAATACAACACAACAAATACTTTCTAAAAAATATTACTAAGAAAACAAATAAGAAAGAAAAAAAAATAGTACTATATTGAAAAGCAAAAATAACACTTATTTTGGAACTTTTTTTCCTTACACAAAACTTATTATTATTGAACATAGTAAATATAATTTTCAATGAATTTTAACCACTAGAAAAAAAAATTAAAGAATGCGTGTAACAATTTGCCATAGTCATCATACTAAATAGAATTACTACAACTAACAGCGAGAATTAACTTATTAGAATATACAAGATTAAAGAAGGAAATATGTCATACATATATTTAAAAGTGAATATAGAAGTAGAACACTTATATTAGTATAGACAAGTTATATACATGTATATAATAATATCAAAATAATCATATGTCCTAATGTTAGTCGAGCATGACTATATAAACTACATCATGTAAGCATCAACACCAACAGAAAGTCACACCACCTACCGATAATTGGTCCTCAAGTCTAACCTTGATTTGTTCCTATGATCATTGTAATCTAAATCACAATAGAAATAGAATGGTAAGCTAAAATTCAAAAATATGTAAGTATAGAAAACAATTCCATAACCTACAACATTGTAGCAAAATATACATGAAAATTAAACACTCCAAAGCAAACATGTATCTCATCCACACCATATTAACCTAGACATTTATTAATGTATATGAACACACCTCAATTCATGTGTCATTATGCATTCATCTATAGAGATCAACTAACAATATGAGAAGAAGTGACTCCATTGTACTGAACCAACCTAATCTTTTTCGCACCTCAAGCGTCGGCTCAATCACAACAAAATGGGATAGCAATCATTTCTCTAGTTTCTCAGATTTTGTCACTTACACTAGAAAAGTCTTATTACCTCGTTAAGAATAGTACAGTTGGGTATAGATTTATCATGACCTTGACATGCATTATCTAGTTACATATGAAATTTGTCCACTGATTATCCTCAAGAAACCATGCAACCTTTCCAAGTACTTGGTCAAGGGTTGTAGCCTTTAACCTCCTACCTTATTCAACTACTGACTAATGACCTACTCAAGGAGGATGACAATTATGTAGCATTAATTTAGTTTAATGTGATATATTCGTTAGTAGAGACATTAATAGATAAATTTTGTGTAGTAATATTTGACAAATTCTCCAACAAAATTTGAATATAAAAATTAAAACAAGGTTTTTTAAAATTATAAGGATTAAAAAAATCAATTTTAAATTTGAAAAATTAAAAATAAATTTACCTTAAATTTAAAAAATTATAAATATATTTAAGTTAAAAAAATTCAACATACTTTATATTTGAATCTATATTCGCTATTTACATTTAAATGCCAAAAAATAAGGAAATTACTTAAATTGAATGTGCTTTTTTTTTTTGTTTGTAAGAAGTTAACAAAACACAATATGTGTGTTTAGAAATTAATCAGCGAGACAAGTTAGCCTTCTTTTTTCACGTTTGTTAGAATTAGAAGTAACAAAAGGTTGCTTCTATGTCTTTTAGACTGCTTGCTTGATGTGCCTTTCGCGAAATTCATACACTTTAACATTAAATTTGTGCAATTAATCTTTACACTTAACACCACTTCTCTTCACCAAACTAGAGAAAACAGTATCTTTCACACCAAAACACACCGTTAAGACTCAATAAACTCTTATACAAGATTAGGCACAAATTAACTTTATCTTACTCCCAAAATTAGTCAAAAAGAGGAATATTATTCTAGTTTAAGGAATATTTGTAATCAATGCTTAACATTCCTTCTAAAGAAAAAATAATTATATCTGATCGATGTCTAATTATTTTTTATCATAAAAATTAAAATCCACTGCCTTAGGAATTCAGTTCGAGTGCCACAAATCATGGGGTCTTCTTGTTTAAGAGTTTGGTGTCAAACTTGTGAAAAATGAATAATAGAGCTTTGGTCGCTATTTTATGCGCTTTCGAAAAGCAACTATACATATAGGTCGTGTTTTGCAGCCAATAATAGAGCTCTCCTGATTAAATAATGCATGTCCTATTTAACAACAATTAGGTGAAAAGTATAAAAGCAACCAGAATATTGGGAATGGGTTATTTTATTTTTGATTTTTTTATTTTACATTTCATGTTGAATTTTCGTATGATTATATCATATGAAAAATACATGTTTATTTTTTTCTTGAATGTACACAAATTTAAATATAGTTCTGCTTCTATTCAATTTCTATATAGATAGAAACAAAAATTCACATGATGTCATATGGTCACATACAGTGGAGGAGCTTAATAGAGACCATGACAACCAGTAGCAACCTAGGATCTTAAATCAATGGAACAATTATTTTTTTTTTTGAAAAAAAAACATTATTATTGTATAGACATAAATAGTACATAAAAAAGAAGACACGGTCATTAGTAATGAAAAGAGAGCAAAATATAAGAAAAAAACTAGCTATTAGAAACAAGAATTAACAATAATTAAGAAATCAAGATCCGTAGATTCAAATTATAAATTTAAAAGGAACAAAAAATTCACAACTCAAAACATGTACATCATACATACTTGTAGGTAAAAGGCACTCCATGCCTTTCTTTAAATACACATACGTTAGTGAATGTAGTGGATAATTATTAAGAGATTAAATAATTAAAACTTATATCAAAAGATTTTTTTTGACCTTTATTAATTATTATTGTACAATTTTTTAAAAATTAAAATTGTCAATACACCAAAATAAAGAATCTTCTTTATATATAAATATAAATATTATCTCTTCAATTATATATAGGTCCGCCACTTACAATCATGACCTCCAAAATTTTTTTCTTCGAATAAGTATATGATTTTTTTTTGTATTACATCATATATAAATAATTTGAAGAATACATATTTAAATATTTTGGTCCCTTAAAATATTTTGGCAATATCTGCCTCTGCTGTAAAAATTCAACATGCGAGAATTCTTTCTGCAGAAAACTAACTAAATGTAAATGCTTTGGATACTAAATACACCACGCTCTAGGTTTTTTTTTCTTCTTTTGTTTTTCAAGCAAATTGTTGTTATTGATTGACCTTCTTAAAAGCCTAAACCGTGATCTTACCCTTCTGGCTCTTACCCTTCTGGCTTTGTCCCTTTGGTTTTACCCTTTACCTGTCAATGAGTATTTGTAAGGGTGACAAGCCATAACAGCTTAATCTTCCTTGCCCTTAGTGTTGATAAAGAGACATGAGGCTATAATAATCATAATGTAAATCAGCGGGATATAGATAGTAACTCAGTAGTATTATGCAGTAATTGAAACTAATCAAGCTAGATGAAAAGTGTACCAAGTATGTCTATTGTCTATCTACTCATCATGACAGAAGCCTAATTTCAATTTGAACAAACATATATAAAAAATGCAAAACCTTGTGCATGATGGGAATTGGTGGATCCCAAACAAAGATATAAGTACGTTTGAATTCTTGTGAACTTGTTCTGACGTTAAATACCGCCAGATCTACAAATAATAATTGTTACTTATACGATTGTGACAGACATGCACAACTATGATAGTGTGGGTTTAAGTGGAAGGAGTAATGAGTAATTCTTATTTCAGATGAATAGGTTCATCTATATACGGGGATATGATTTTACAGATTTTGTCTCTAAGGTTCCATTGGGGAAGAATAGCCATGCAAGGCCATTGCTATTTACGTTCAAGACTTGGCATAAGCAACCACATGGGCTTAATTTGGACAGCGATTGATGAGTGAGAATATATAAGATTTTGCACATTGAGGGGGCTATTTATTGAGCCTCAACTAGAAGAGTACAGTTGCAGTTGCACCTCACACATGGCCTGTTCTTTATCGCACTAGATTTTAGCATGGTATGGGAAATTAATAATGGAGTGCAGGTGTATAGAACCTTTTACCACAAGGGAAAAGTCTTGATTCTTGTACTATTCCCAATTCTTTTGTTCTATGTATACTTAGGAAACTGGAAGGGATCAACCACTTGCTTTAATTATTACCATTATTCCAAACACATTAACATTATAAATAAGCAAAAAAATTAGGGGCAGGTGAATTTATGCTTGCCCCCCTTTTTCTTTAGTCGGTATATTCAGGCATTTGCTGAGGTTTTTGACTTTGTTACCTTCTCTATTTGCCAAAAATTGCACTAGATACCAAAGTGTATTAAGTCACTGTCATGAAAATTGTAGATGAACTTTGTATAGTTTGGTACCTTACCCTGATTCTTGGTTTTGAACTTTTTCTCTTTTGCTAGACCAAAAGACAAGCACGTCAAGTTTTTATAATTATGTTAGTATGGGCACCGGCTTCGGCTCCAATAACAGCTAATAGCTTGTACTCAGTAACTATTCCGTATTTTGAAAGCATTTATATATGTATTTTCCACCCTATGCGCTCTTAAATTTTGTGTTTTTTTGGCTTATTTTGTAATCTGATTCTTCTTTGACTTTCCCTGCTTCTCACGTTGTTCACATCTATCAATAGTATGAAGTTTGCTTAATGAGGAATGAAAATGTGAATAATAGAGGAAATGGAAACCCACATTTCATCATTATCCATAATTAAATCATTGTACAGTCTGCAACGATTTAATAATTAGAGACAAAGTTGTAGTGACTTATAAACCAACTTAAGATTGAGTAGCAAATTGCAAGATAGCCCATATGCCTGCACAATAATGAGAATTGTGCGTCTGGAATTTTATGACCTAAAGTTTCTTGCAAATGCCCATAACATCAAGCATTTTCCAAACCACTTATACATGCGTGCAAATTTAGAAAACCGAAGACATTTTATTAGAAGCTTTTTTTCCTAGTCCATTCTCGGTCTCCTCTTTTTCTGGTCCTGTACTTTTGAGTGAATGAATTTATTAATTTAACGTATCATTCAATCATAAATTAAGATGTGATAAATTTGTTAATTTTTATAATAATAATATCAAAGATTATTTATGATTGGTTGAGTGTATAAACTTTTATTTTACACTAAACCCATATGTGATTCTTTAAGTCCGATTTCATTCTGCAAAAGCTTTGTTTTTTCCTCAATAATTGAAAAGACCCAAAGGTCTAAAGCCCACCACGTCAATACAAAATTCGAGGAATAAGCCCAACAAGGAGCGATACGCAGCTGAGACAAAAGACCCATAAGTCTATAACTGTCACCTTGAAAAGCTGAAAATGCATGGCCCAACTAATCAGTCTGTATATATACTCACAATTAAGCAAGGGAGATGATACGATATTAACACACAATCATACCTCTTTTGCTCTTAGAATTCCTTAATAGTTTTTATTTTTGAAAAAAATTATCATTCCAGAAAAGATTGATATGCCCGAGAGAAAGAAACGGGAGGGTGAGGGTAAAGGTGGGAGGACATAAGGATTTTTAAAAATATATATATAAAGAAAAAAAGAGTGGAAGTGTGAAAAGAAAAAAAAAATGAGAATACCGTCCATACTACCTATTTTATAAATAAAAATATTTATCTTCCACATTATACGCGTTATAATACTAATTTATAAAAAAAAATATATTCAATATATAATTTTGGTTTGGATAATTTTGTTTTTGGTTTATTTGACTTGTAAGCTTCAATTTGAAGCGTTGGAGTCACAACATAAAATCATTGTTGCAGTGCTGCAGTCATAGTGTTGTCTGCGATTCTTGCAGGGTTCAATTTGAAGTGTTGGAGTAAGTGTGCAAATCCCTGAATTTCAAAATACTTTAGGTTGAAGTGTTGCAATCACAGTGTACGATTATTGCAGTGGGCAATTTGAAATGAACCAAATTTAACGCGTGAGAATCAGATGACATGGCAGTGTTACATTACAATGCAAGATGATGTTTAAGATCCAGTTAAATTAAACTCAACTGAAATTAAAAATAAATAAAATCACACTCATAAATTTTTATTATTTTTATTGAAACGCATACTTTTACATTAAACGTGATTTTAAATTAATATTCAAACACATACAATAGCATCGGAATGCACAAACGACTCAACCCAGTTTTGAAAACAATGATTAAATGCCAAGTTATTCCCTTCAAATCCATGGAGTAAATATTTTAGATGGAATAAAATAGAGAAAAAACAACTGAGAAGAATTTAAACAACTCAAAACCGGCAAAGGAGAATTAGACGGAAAAAGTCACTTATGTGTGGGATATTTTCTTTCATCCGTACCTTGGTCCTTCCAACGAAACCAGTGCCTTGCAACATACCACTACATCGTGATTTATGTTTGGGGAGGAAATGAGAAGCTCTGGATTAGCCGATTAGTTACCATATTGCTAATACAAGGAAGATAAATATCCAACACCCTGGATCTGCTTGTCCAATTTATACTCAATATGTTACATCAAATTAATCACACCTGGAATATGTTTCAAACATCTATTACACATGATTAAATATGTGATAACTTTCAAACAATTCATTGTGCATCAAACCAGGTGTTATTTCATTTCTCCCTTGTTCACCAAAACACTAGGCAAATGAACACCATGAAGACAATAACTACGGAAAAATGATCACATGTACAATATAGATGACACGGGAGGAAACATTCAACCACTGATGATCTATTTTTCCCTCGAACACATCACACAAAAACTATAAACAGATTTTGACTACGATTTACAAAAAAACAAAATGCTATATATTACCTGACTTGGGGACATGTAAAAACGGGGTGAATTTTCTTAAAAGGAATTTATTGGTAATGTCATGCAACTTAGCATCGGAAGAAAAAAAATCTCATTGATTGCCATTATTCACCTTGATCTCTATAAGCTCCTCAATAGATTGACGGCATATGGGGCATTTATTGGATTGAAGTCGCAGAGCTTTCGCACACTCACCGCACATACACTAGAAAAACACAACCGACGTAATATGAGAATAATCAAATGAGAAAATTAATAGAGTTAATTTGGATAAATTTCTTAACTACTCACTGAAGAAAATGAAATAAATTAAAGAGGTAAAATGAATTAATCTTGTATAAATTAAATTAAGTTGTACAACTTAAATTTTTCAACAGTCCTCTCATCTAACTTCTCTATAAGCACCTATAAACTTGGCAGAACTTGACATTCTTACCATGTAAAATATCTTAACAATAGGGTTTTACAATTGAAAAGCTCACATAAGTTAGAAGCTAATCCAAACTGAGCTATAGTGTAAAATAAAACACACAACATGATGTGACATTGCACTAGATATCCATTTTACACACTGTCTATACAGGTGCTGATATACTATATTGTGATCTATTATTTTTAAATAATATATGCATGATCACATGACATGCCACAAGCTCACAACCTTGAAAACAAATTAAGAAGGGGAGGCAGGAGAGGAAGAAAAGAAAAATTAAAGTAATATAAGCCTTATAAGGATCACACAACACCCCTTTTACTCTTTCCGAAATATTAACATTGGCAATCCCATGCAAACACAAATTATGCTATTATCCAGGGTTATGTATTCACATGAACCAATACAAGTGCTAATATCTTGATTTCTTCCTTTAAACTGGTTATCTAATATATAAATAAATTTGACATGAAATATTACCATATGTCGACAAGGTAAGACAGCAGTATCCTTTGGTTCAGTCATGCATATGACACACTCCTTCCCGGGATCATTGTCATCAAAATCAGCTGCTGATGAGCTTCCTATTCCATATAACTCTCTCAACTCATAACGAACACCATCAATCCACAAAATCTGCCTAACTACTTTTATCAGGAAAGGATCACCACCATTACTTTTCACTAAGACACCTTGGGTTATTTGCATGTGAGGGGATGCATCCAACAAGCAATCACCAGGAGCTTCATCTGCTGAGGATGTTTTCAAACTTGTTTCAGCACATATTACAAGAGGAAATACATCTTCTCCAGGTGAGGGCTTTGAAAGATCATCCAACTCAAAGAAGCCCAGGTCAATTCCCGTTCCTGATGTCTGAGAAAATTTCTGGCCAACTCCTTTCTGAAAGGGGATTCTGATTGGCTCAAATGCTTCAGGAATTAATGGAACAAACCTACATTTTTCTTCTTCCTTGGCAAAGTAGAAGATAGTAATGCTGCCAATTATAAATATTAGAGAAATTAGAAAAGCTAAAATATTTTGTAAAATATGCAATACTCAACATTCAAATATTTTCATCTTACAGCAATCATTTCATATAATTAGTTCAAAGTATCAAAATAATCACAAGTTCAACATAAACTGTAGTTTCTCATTGGCATTTCATTGCACTTGAAATTGTATGCTTGCTTTTAATACTTACATAAAACTGTTCATAATCAGAGCATAGGCAAAACTAAAGGTTCAGAGCACAAACAGTTGTAATAATAAATATTGTATTGGTTTCTTCTATCATATTGCTATATGGCAGTGAATGCTAAGCTTTAAAGAGACAACATAAGAAAAAGGTGGGAGTAGCAGAAATTAAAATGTTAAATTGGATGTGTGTAACCAGTAACAACACAAGAAAGAATAGGATATGGAATGAGTATTATGCGAGAAGAGATTGAAGCAACACCAATTGAGGAAAAGATGATAGAAAATTGGTTAAGCTGTTAAAGAGGTTTGGACACATACAAGGCACTAATGATAAGAGTACATTGCATACTTTTAAGTCACGTGAAAAGGAGGAGAGGAAGACCAAGAAAGACCTCTATATAAATAATATCCCTGAAATTTTGACCTTTAACTGAGTTGAATGGTGTTTTCCGATCCTCCAATGTAATCAACTTTACCTAGTGGGATAAGGCTTTGTTGTTGTTGGTTTCTTCTTCACATGAAATATGCATACATAAGCAAATTGACAATGTGCTAACTTTAGACATTGGCAATGAAAATACAATATTTTCTTGGACTAGTGTACAACTAAAATATGTATTCTCTGCATTTCAAGTCCATTCAAACAATAGTAATTAGTATAACAGCAGCAGATTTATCTGAAGATGCCAGTAAGCAATTTTAGTAGCCTGTCATCAGGAAAATTTTGACTGAATTCATGTAAGCAGCTTAATCAAGATAAATGCCAGACAGTTAACTTATTGACTCCATCCTGGCCTGGAAAGAAAAAGTAAGTCATCAAATAAGACTTTTATAATTTTCAAACTGAGCATAACTAGAACACAGTACAGAACCAAGGAAATGCCTCGCAGAAAAATAAAAATTAAAATATAACTCATGTGCAGGAAGGAGAAGCTTTATGATCCCAACAAAATTCCCTATCACAGTTGGTTATATTGTGAGTCTTTCGATATGGTTCAAAGTTACAAGATCATTCAACCTGGAACAACAATTGGTGTTCTAACTTAAGAATTCATATTGAAACTGTTGCAAACTGTTCATATTAAAAAAATTTCCTACATATTTTTGGCACATTAAAGATGATAACACAACTCCTACCTAAAAATTCGAGCTTGGAGACTTTAGGTAATGCTTAGCACACTTTCACTTTTAGACATTGACTCAATGACTGAAGAGACCCTTCGAATACTTGGGAAGGCATAAGTCTAATTCATTGCATTTACTGTCTTTAAAAAATTGAAAATTCAAAGTCAATTATGAAAATTTCATAACTGTTGACAATGGAAGATGCCTGCAAGTTGCTGGATTATCCTATTAGTGGAGGAGAGAAGTCCTTGGCACTAACTAAGAACTTCAATTCAAGTTGAGAGTCAAAGATGTGTCTTCAGAGTTCAGAGTCTTCATTGGTATAAGTGTCAAGGACAGAAGGAATCTACATGTTTCTCCAGATTGCTAGAATTGATAAATTAGTATTGCTGAATACCTTTGACATAAAGTCTATTCATTGTTATCACTGAGACAAACAGAAGAAGCAAGGAGGATGTGGGGAGAGACGGGTCCGTGTTCTTCAAACCCTAGTTGGTCTCAAAGGACACCAAAATGACAGAAAAAACTAAGAAAATGGGAGGAAAAGATAAAAGAAAATAGGAGCATTTTGAGGTTTCTCATGCAGAATGCCACATCCACGAATTGTGACCACTGACCACCAACAGAGAAACACTCCATACTGCTCCTCTTTCACACCCACATGGTGCAACATCGCAATAGCGCCACTACTTGCCCCTATTGATAATAACTACGATAACAAAATACTTTTCAGTAATCTTTTTTTGCCAGAGACAAATGAATTCTTCACCGAAGGCAATCCCGCTCGAATTGGTAAGACCACTCAGATTACCATGAGTAGCAAGGATACTTTTCAGCAATCTCCATCATAGAATCCTACAATTTCTTTTCCAATTTCGCAAAGAAATACTTAACATTTTTTTCTAATTTCAAAAAAATTAAAAAACACAAGCTAATTTAAGCTTTTGGAAGCAAAAATCATTTAGCTAAGCCCAAAAAGCTTATTTTAGCTAATGAGAGTTTTTTTTTTTTTTTTAGTTTTTCATTTTTCTCCTATACATGGTAGCGGAGAAAGTTATCCATACATACAGGGCGAGCGATTAGTCTTAGAATTAGCATCACGAGCCTTTTAGTTATCTATGCAAATCCATCGATAGAACGCAATCGAATCCAACTGAGAAGAACGAAGCGTTACCTGCCATCATAGAGAGCATCGAAAACGAAGGAAATGAGATGATGATCGGGATTGTCCTCGTCAACCTCGAGGCGCAGGGTATCTTTATGGACATTAACGTAGTTCTTTATCTTCTTCGCCGTCTGGTGATCCACATAGGGCGGCGGAGAGGAGGAGGAGGAAGGACGGGCGGCGGGCCATGCGCCGGGCTGAGGCTGGTAGAAGGGCTGGAAGGGAACGCGATTGGCGGTGTAGCCGTTGGGGTTGGAGTAGTAGAACGAAATCGAGTGGGTCTGCGGCGGTGGCGGCAAGGGTGGGGGAGCGCCGTAGTTGGTGCAGTGCGGAGGAGGGAAGTAATTTTGCGGCGGCGGCGGCGGCGGAGGAAGGAGAGTAGGGGGGTGGGATTCTGTAGAGTAAAAGTAAGGGGGCGGGAGTGGGGGTGGGTTTTGGATGTAATTATTTCTTCTTCTGCTGCCACTCCACGAAATACCCATCGGAGTGGTGGAATTGAGGATCGGACGGAGAGAGGGAGAAGATGAAATTGGATGCGTGTTGTGTGAGACTGAGACCACCTTTCTGTTTCTTTCCTCTTTCAACGCGATTCTATTGGTTCTCTTTTACCTTTCCCTTTACTATTCGTTTCCTCGCACATTCATGACTCATTGGTTTGGGAATGGACAAACAAATGGGAATATACAAGAGAATCACATCTTCTCTCTCTTTTTATTCTTTTAACATTGCCATATTTGAATGGAAGATGAGGGAAATTAAATATCTTTTAAATAAAAGTTATAAAAAAATTAAAGATAAATAAATTATTTTTTCTTAAAAAAAAATCACTCTTGTTCTTACCGGAAATCTGCTGTAGAAATGATCCTCCGAGTAAGATTGGTGAGCCTCCTTCGCTGGTACGCTTGATGCTCCAAGATGGGGGTAGTACCTGCAAAAGAAACTCCGATGCTAAAGTTAGGGTTTGTATGAGTATGAATCTCGTATATATAATGCACGTACCTTGATGTATATTAGGGTTGCGTTGGGCCTTGGGCCTGAGATTAGTTGTGATTTGATTAGGTAGAGAATCTTGCCTAGACCGAGATTCCCTGAGATCGGTTATGATCTATTTAAATGCCGAGTTGACGCCACGTAGCGCGTGTCCGAGGTTAGCTCGTGTTGTGGTACCGAGCTCAGAGCTCGGCTTCGGAGTACGAATAGTACACTAGCCCCCCGAGCTCCGAAGACTGTAGGTCGAGGAGTTAAGACTGAGCTCGTCAAGTGGGTGCGACCTTTCGCGTAAGCCTGCTTGCTGAGATGTCACGTGTCATAACTGGTCGCTTCCGAAAACGTGCAAGTGGCGCGTTAATAGAAGTGACGGTTATGTAATGATGGTTCTCCATTAATGTGTCGTCAGACGTGCCCCTTGGCTGACACGTGGCGTGGCCGTTTTGAATTTGGGGGAAAACCTTCTTTTCTCTCACTCGCGCCTCTTCGCCTTTCACTTTACTCTTTTCATTTTCTTTCTCCCTTGGCTTTGCGCAAGCTGCTTTGTGCACCTTCGCTTCCGTCCAGTCTCCGTCACTGTTTTCACAGTTTTCGCCGTCATTTCCGGTAACCCCGTCATTATTAGGGTTGTTTTGTGAGGAAGAGTACCAGGTACTTCCTTTCTACAGTTTTCTTTTTTCTTTTCCCCATATCTTCTTTTTCCTCTTCCCAAATCTTCTTTTTCTTTAATGGCTGGTGGAAGTGGTGCCGGTTCTTCTGCGCCTGCCAGGGGCAAGGCGCACGGCAAGGCGGTGGGTACCGGGAAAGCCGCTGTCGAGAAGAAGGACCCGCCTCCACCCAAGGACCTGGAGCCGGGCGTTCCTGGCTACGACTGGGTTAGGCGTGGATGGCGGGGGTCCAGAGCGTTTTTCGGTCTTTTCTTGAGGGTAATGGGATCTCGAGATCGTGGAGGGTTTGTGACCCTTCCATTTTCCGGATGATCCGGCTGGAACCCTGTCAGGCCAGTGAGGGCGTGTACATGGGGAAGTCTACCGACCCTCCCCATTTCTATATGTACCACTATTTTTTTAGGGATTTAGGTGTCTGTCTTTCCTTCACTTCGTTCGAGTGTGATTTTTTGAACTTTGTCAACTCGGCTCCTTGCCAGTTACACCCCAATAGTTGGGGTTTTTTTAGGGCTTTTCAAGTCCTGTGTACAGTTTTAGGGATAGAGGTGTCTCTTCCCGTCTTCCTTCATTTTTACCACTTAATACTATCTCTGAGTGGGAGTAGAGATGGGGGTTTGTTTACTCTCTACTCCCAGTCGTACAAAAATTTCAAACAAGAGTTTTTCCGAGTCGCTCTTGTGAATGTCGACCCATTGGAAGATGGGGCGTTCTATTTCGGTGAGCTGCCAAAATTTCCCTTTTATTGGTGCCCCCAACCGTCTAGGTTTCATGGGGTGGGCCAAGTGAAGCTTACGGCTTTCGAGGTTGCCGCCATCGAGAACCTCGCCGCGCTTCCTCGTCCGCTGGATTGCAAGCTCGTTCTGTCGCTTGCAAACTCGGCGTACAGGGAGAGGGGCTTGGAGAGTGAGCATTTTGTTTTTTGGTGGTTTGTCGGAGTTTGTGTAAATTCCCTTTGTTGATGTGTTTTATTTCTTGTCTGTAGGTATCATGGGGAAGAACTTGTGGTGTGAGCTAAAGCATCGCTACAATGTTACCGAGCTCGAGGTCCCCGAGCCTCGAGAGGAAGATGCTTCCCCCTGAAAGTTAACCGAAAAAGAAAGAGGGGAGCGAAGGAGGTTGGGGGGACCTCTGCCCCTGCGGACGCCGAGGAGGTGACCTCCAAGGCTGCCGATGCTGGTGCGGTGGACCTTACCGAGAGTCCACCGCCCAAGAGGGCTTTTCAGGTGGCCTCTGAGGAGATGGCTCAGACTGCCGAGCAGGTTGCTCAATCTACCGAGGTGGTGAGTACCTTGTCTCTTCGGCTTTTTGATGTCTTTTATTGTGCTTTTCTGTGTTCTGACCTAGGGCCATCTTCCGCAGGCAGGAGATGTTGCTGAGGCGGCGACCCAGGCTGCTGGGCAGGCCGCCCAGGCTGCCGAGGTAAGTAGTGTTCCATGATTTTTGCGATTTCCTGTATGTTGTCGTTTTTCTTTTTTGACATGGCGCTGTTTTCGCAGGCGAGGTCGGAGGTTCCTATCGTGGACTTTCCAGTTGCCGAGCGGGGGACGCCAGCTTTCGCCTCTATCAAGGCTCGTGGCGAAGGGCCGAGTCTTGAGGTCCCCGTGTCCACCCCTGCAGCTTTGGCACCGCCGTCTGGTTCGTCGCAGGGGGTTTCCCGGAGCCGATACATAGCCCACTGCTTCGGGAAGGGCCTTTCAAAGGTGCAATTGGACCATGTGAGTGCCTCGGCTGACATGGACTCGTTGTGGAGCGCGGGGGTGACTGCCGAGAAGTTCTTCTCTCAAGGCTCGCTGAGCTCCAAAGACTAGGGGCTGATAGACGAGGTCGGGCCCGTGGATAGTTTCGACGCTGCTCAGGTCCTTCTGCAGAGGGCTATGGCCATTATGGGCCATTGGAAGCCTCGGTGGTCCAAGCAGCAGGAGGACTTGGTCAGACTGAGGGGCCGAGTTCAACCCCTGAGGAATGAGAACAAGGTCCTGAAGGGGGAGAATAAGGTCCTTAAGGAGGAGAATACGGTCCTAAATGTCGAGTTGCGAGCCGCGAGGGGGGATCTTGCGAGGGTGCAGAAGTCCCTGGAGATTGCTCTACGCTCGAATGAGAACTATGCTTCTCAGGTGGGCGAGTTGCAAGGTTTGGCCTCCTCGTCCTGAAGTCGGGTGCGCTTCCTCGAAGATGAGGTGACGTCTTCCTGTGGTCGGGTTCGCTCTTTGGAGGATGAAGTCACCTCTTTGAAGAGTGAATTGGTGACGGCGGCCGAGAGGCACCTTTGCGATGAGGTCGTGATTGGCGGCAAAGAGGAGGAGGTCGCCGCCTTGAAAACGGAGCTGGCGAGGCAGGAGGTAGAGAGGAGAGTGCTGGAGAAGAAGCTGGAGGAAATCGAACGAGCCATTGTGGTTGAGCATAGGCGGGGTTTCCTCAAGGCGACTCGCCAGGCAAGGCTTCTTGCCCCAGGGTTCGACTTCTCTGCCATGCACGTGGAGAAAGTAGTCCGCTTTGGGAAGCTGGTAAGGGAGGACGACCTCGAGGGTAGTTCTAGTGAGAACGCCTCTACGTAGGCCACTTTTTGTTGTAGCTGAGTTAGTGTTTTTCTGTTTTACTTTTTGTTTGGAATTCAAGTATAGAACTTTTGGATATTGCCTGAGTATGTATATATATTCTTCTTTGTCTTTTTGCGTTCTCGCTTTCTTTTTCCTTTTGCGCTTTTTGGACTTGGTTTTTGCCGTTTGCGCTGTGGGACATGTGTTTGACGTCTTGATTTCGGGTTTTGAGTATGTCTCGTACGGGTTCGAGCTCGGCTTCGGATTTTCATTATTTAACTTTTTCAAAGGTTCATACTCGACCTTGAGTTGATCATGTCGAGGTTCAAACTCGACCTCGAATTTTCATTATTTAACTCTTGTAAAGGTTCGTACTCGACCTCGAGTTTTGGGGTGTAATGTGTTTTATCAAGGTTCAAACTCGACCCCGGGTAAGAGTGTTGAGGTTCGTATTCGACCTCAAATTTTAACGAGGTTCGGGCTCGACCTCGGATAAGAGTGTTGAGGTTCGTATTCGACCTCAAACTTTAACGAGGCTCGGACTCGACCTCGAGTAGGCGTGCTTAAGGTTCGTACTCGACCTTAAAATGGAGTAAAATGATTTTATTAAGGTTCGAACTCGACCTTGGATAAGAGTGTTGAGGTTCGTATTTGACCTCAAACTTTAACGAGGTTCGGACTCGACCTCGGATAAGCGTGCTTAAGGTTCGTACTCGACCTTAAATTGGAGTAAAATGATTTTATTAAGGTTCGAAATCGACCTTGGTGAGAGTGAAAGAGGTTGGTTCGATTTCGTCCTCTATAAAAACATAAAATAAGAATATAGATTGAGCAAAATGAGTCATTTTATTGATTATGTCTGTGTGCCTCGTTAAAAATCCTCTCAGTCAAAGACTGAGGCGGGAAAAGAGTGCACAACTCGTTCATACAAAATTAGTTGAAATGGAACTTAAGGAAGACTACGGAGATCGGTCCTTGGGCCAAGATCAGTGGCCTCCCTGCGGGTGATGTGAGCTACGGTGGGGGATCCCCCTTGCTTTGCTTGCTGGACGAGGAGATCTTCAGACTTTCGGCGTAGCACTGCCGAGCTGGCTTATGATTTGCTTTGACAGAGATGATTTTACTGTCATTCCCTGGGAATTTCATAGTGAGGTGTGGGGTGGACACTACTGCTCCGAGTTGGTTCAAGGTTGGCCTCCCGATGATTATGTTATAGGAAGTGTTGGCTTCCACGAGGAGGTACCGAACCATGACTCGTCTTATGTCTGGAGGTACTCCGAAGGTTGTCAGTAGGTCTACGTACCCCCGAGTGTGAACTCGCTCTCCTGCAAAACCGACTAGGGGCTTTGTGTGAGGTTGGATGAGAGAATGAGGGACGTCTAACCTGAGGAACGACCAGTACAGGACGTCGGTCAAACTCCCTTGGTCAATGAGTGTCTTCTGTACCTCCCAGTTGGCGACTTCCACGACGATAACC